TCTTCCTTGAGGACAGTTTGTTCGCAGACTGTAGAGAGAGATTACCACTGGTTGTAGATTCTATTCTTGTTATCTCTCTGGATTTAGATTGACACTAAAGACAACAAGCCAACACTGTAAGAAAAAGTCCGTAAATTTCACGGTAAAAAATTGTAAAATACAACAGTTTCTGACCGTAATATACAAAACATTTTATCGTAGAAAATACATGGAATCACCGTCAGTCAACACAGTAAAATAAGTCTATAAATTTACGGCAAAAAATCGTAAAATAGTAACAGTTGCTGACTGTAATATAAAAAGCACTTAATTGCCGTAGAAAATTCATGGAATTACAGTAACTCCACTTTGACATATCAAACTGAATTCTCAAAGGTAGACCAGGTATCGAACTGGCAATCCACCAATTGCAGGGCAAACTCCTACAACCAACATCACCATCATTTTGAGAGAGTTTGATTAAATGACGTATTTGGGATTATTTAATTTTATGTTGACCATAGATTTGTCATACATTTAGAGAACTGTATGGTAGGCCCTGCTGCTTGGACAAAGGTAAAGGGCGATTCCACCTAATTTTTCACTACTGTCAGCATCTTTAATTTACCAAAAGGACATGGTCAATTTTACTAAGGGAAAACCACAGCTGCCGGTATCTTACCGTATTTTAGGAAATACGGTAAAATACCGGTGTTCTGTCAGATCAGCATACGCTGTCATATCGTCATACGCTTAACACGAACTGACGGGCAGGGGCGCTGCCAGAAATCTTGGGCCCCCTGACAAAAAATTAGATTGGGCCCCCCTGTGCAGCTGCTGTTACAATTTTTTGAGTCTATTTGACCCATAAAAAGCATCACCATTTTAAATGCTTGCATCTGCCTTGCTTTCTTTGGTTCAATACTGATAATTAGCACAAAATTTACTGCTTATGAATTTAGCATCCAACAGTCCACATCCAGTATGCAAGTAGGTTGCTTAAATGTTTTCTATTAGTTTTAGATTACTGAAATGTCTCTCCCCATGGGCAACAGTCAAAAGCAACGTGCAACTACACATAAAGCAATCCAGACTTCTAAAAATGCTATGTAGTTGCATTTTATTCAAGCTGCAGTACATAACTTTAATAAAAAATATGTTTTCTCCATATTTGTTAAAGTTGTCACGACATTGTAGCAGCTTGTAATGAGACAGATAATCTGTGAAAACAATCAATCTCCTCCATCTCCTTCCTGAATTACTATTACTGGTTAAAGTAATGAACTGTTCTGACCAAAACAACCAATCAGAACCAGGAGGGGAGGGTCTTAGCGCTGTCAATTAGCCTCATTCACTCACTGCTAAATGTGCTAATGGGGGAGAAACAACTTATCATTACAAGAAACCGTTTATCTGCCATCATTGGTAGCTAGGCTAGCTAAACTGAGCATTCACAGTTTGAATCTGCACAGCTCTGTGCTATGCTAGCTGCAGCAAAGCACAAATCGAGGGGGAGGAAGAATGAGCAGCACCACATGAGATTGTGATTGACAGCACTAAAACTCTCCTGCCACTGACTGGTTGTTTCTAGCACTGGGAGAAAGCAGAGGAAATAGATTTTTCACAGATTACCTCTCATACCATACTGTCACAACATAATGACAGTTTTAAACAAAATATGTGAAAAAATACAATTATATAAAAGTTACATACTGCAGTTTTAATTTCACTCAGGAGAGGACGGATCAGGAGGGACGTGGGTTATAACTGCTGCTAATTGACTCACCTGTTAAGTGGTAAAAGATACAAGGGACAAGTTAAATATATGAATATGTTGGTAATTTTTTTCCTTAATTCATTAAATGCTAGTGAAATGGAGGTAAACGGTAGTCTGTAGCTAAGCTAAGGTGTTCAGGGCAGAATCGTCATAACTTTTCACCCCTTTACCGTGTCCCTTCTGACGGGTATATCTATCAGACAAGTATACTCCATCATTACCATATGATTCTATTTAATCAGCAACATAGAATCATGACGTAGATCGTCATACACTTTGTTATTAACAGCTATATATGGCAAGCCGATATCTCACATTGTTTTGTGACTAGACGTTTAAGATATCTCTAATTATATTTCGACTAGACAAAATAACTATTTGAGATATTTCTAATTACATTTTGACTAGTCAAAATGACGTCAGATTTACCATTGACTTGTCTGGAGACTTCAATTTAAGATATCTAAAATGAATTACGGACTATATGAAATACACATTTCAGATATCTACAATTAAATTATGATTAGTCATAATGTAAATTCAAGATATCTCGATTTTGGTTTTGACTAGTCATAATTCTAATTAAAGATATCTCCAATTACTCCATAATTCAAATATCTTAAATGTATTTTTTGGATAGGAGATATGTAGTTTTGACTAGTGAAAACTAAATTATAGATATCTTAAAAGCAAATAATGACTAGACAAAATTAAATTAAAGATATCTTGAATTGTAATTTTGACTAGTCAAAATTCCTTTTAAGATATCTCTAAATGAATTCGAGATATCTTGAATTACACAGCTTTTCTATTTAAGATATCTTAAATTGACATTCCAACTAGTCAGAAAGACATTATTGATATCTTGAATTAGTATTCTGTATAGTCAAAACGACCCTGACTTATGTAGCAATTTGAAAGTTTAATAAAACAATGAAAAATAGAAAAAACGAAAAAAGATATTTGAAAATGCGCCACTTTTCAAAGCTGTTTTTAAGTGCATTCGGTTCGTCGGAAATGAATAAACAGGAAATTCTTTGCAGATATCAGAAGCAGTCTTATAGTTTATGAAGTTTTGCTATCTCCACATTTCCAACATTGTCGAGCTCTTTCTAATTTGTGGCATTTACTGACAATTTTGTGCAGGAAACATAAAATTCTGCAGGCAACTGTTTGGACACCACAAATGGGCTTCCACGTCATTCTTAATTCAGATATCTAAAATTGTAATTTTGACTATTCATAATTGTGTGGAAGATATCTTAAATTGTAATTATGAATGTGTCCCGTCAAATGACAGATTCAGTGACGTCATTTGAGATATCTTGAAAGGAATTTTGACTAGTTATAATGTAATTGAAGATATCTTGAATCATCGTATCTTGATTCTTACTAGTCAGAATGTAAATACAGATATCTTAATTCCATTCCAGATCGTCAAATGTAGTTTTGTAGTTTTGTCTAGTAAGCTGTGTGACATCCTGACTTGGTGCTTAAGTAGGTTAATGAGTTTTACACAGGTGTGTGTTAGTTGACTGCAGCTGCAGCTAGACCCTGCTTTAAATACACTTTGAAACCACGACAATGCATGTGTATCTATCTAGTTATCATTGAGAAAATTGAATGACTTATTTCCATCATAACTTGTCAAGTATGCGGAACTGACAGCTCCTCTGACGGTCGGACTTCTTAACGCGCATGCGTACTCACTGCATTTATGCTATTCTGATAGCGTATGATGATCTGATTGTGTTGTGGAACACAATGATAGACCTAATCTGAACCCTGGGCATTTCTCCGTAACACATTGAGTCATTTATACTAGCAGAATTAACAAAGGCTCTATCACAGGTGATGTTACCTTAACAAGCAAAAAATAAATGCTGTGCTGCCGCTCAGGCAGGCAGAGCTGGACGCTCTTTGAGATGCTAACGGGAGCTACAGTGGATATAAAAAATCTACACATCCCTATTCAAATGCCAGGTTTTTGTGATGTAAAAAAATAACAGCAAGACAAACATTTTCACAACTTTTTCCACCTTTAATGTGTCCTATAACCTGTACAATGCAATTGAAAAACAAACATAAATCTTTCACGGAGGTGAAGTAAAAATAAACAACTGAGATAATGTGGTTGTATAAGTATGCACACCCTTTTAGAACTGGAGGTATGGCTGTGTTCAGATTTAACCAATTTCATTCAAACTCATGTTAAATTGGAGTCAGCACATACCTGTCACCAATTAAAGTGCCTCTGATAAAGTTCAGCTGTTCTAGTAGGCTTGTCCTGATATTTTTGTAGCCACATCATCCAACATAAGCCATGGTCCGCAAAGAGCTGCCACAGCATCAGAGGGATCTCATTAATCAAATATATCAGTCAGGAGAAGGCTACAAAAAATTTCCAATTCATTAAATATACCATGGAACACTGTGAAGACTGTCATCAAGTTTAGAAAACATGGCACAACAGTGACATTACCAAGGACAGGACGTCTGTCCAAAATTTATAAGACAAGAAGGAAACTGGTCTGGGAGGCTGCCAAGACGGTGACAGCAACACTGAAGGAGCTGCAAGAATTTCTGGCGAGTACTGGCTGTGCAGTTCATGTGACAACTATCTCCCATCTTCTTCATATGTCTGGGCTATGGGGTAGGCAAAGAAACGCATCAAAGCCTGGCTTAATTTTGCAAAAACACATCTGAAATCTCCCAAACACATGTGGGAAAATGTGTTATGGTCTGATGAAACCAAGGTTGAACTTTTTGGACATAATTCCAAAAGGTATATTTGGTGCAAAAACAACACTGCTCATCACCAAAAGAACACCATACCTACAGTGAAGCATGGCGGTTGTAGAATCATGTTTTGAGGCTGTTTTGCTTCAGCTGGAACTGGGGCCTTAGTGAAGGGGGAGGGAATTTGTCATGATCCGTGTTTTTCTGTTTAGTTATTTTGGAATTTTCTATGTTTAGTCCTGTTTCCCTGAGTCTCTGTGTTGTCCTGTCAGCCCTTGATTGTTCCCAGGTGTGTCTCGTTCCCTTGATTACCCTCGTGTGTATTTAAGTCCACCTGCTGTCTTTGTCTCTTGTCGGATCCTTGTCTGCCGGCACAGTTGAACTGTTAAGTCCTGTGTCGGCATTAACTCGTCGCGTCAGTCTTTGTTTAATTCAGTTGCTACCGGTGCTGAGTCTGTGTTTCCGCTCTGCCGTGCTGTCTGAGATATGGACTGTTTTTGAGTGACACTCTTCATTAAATTCATCATTTTCTTCTACAACCTGGGTCTCTGCGTCTCTCCTCACCAACCACTCCACATGACAGAATTATGAACAGTTCCAAATGTCAGTCAGTATTGGCACAAAACCTTTGGCCTTCTGTTAGAAAGCTGAAGAGGAACTCTATCTTTCAGCATGACAATGACCCAAAGCACACATCTAAATCAATAAAAGAATGGCTTCACCGGAATAAGATTAAGGATTTGGACAGGCCCAGTCAAAGTCCAGACTTGAATCCCATCGAACATCTCTGGGGTGATCTGAAGAAGCTGTGCACAGGAGATGTCCTTGCAATCTATTGGATTTGGAGCGGTTTTGCAAAGAAGAGTGGGCAAATATTGCCACATCAAGATGTGCCATGCTGATAGACTCCTACCCAAAAAAACTGAGTGCTGTAATAAAAGCCAAAGGTGCTGCAACAAAGTATTAGTTTAAGGGTGTGCATATTTATGCAACCAGGTTATTGTAAGTTTTTTATTTTTCATTTTCCTCCCTGAAAGATTTCTGTTTGTTTTTCAATTGCATTATAGAGGTTACAGGTCAAATTAAAGGTGGAAAAAGTTGTAAAAGTATTTGTCTTGCTGTCATTTTGTTACATCACGAAAACCTGCCATTTGAACAGGGGTGTGTAGACTTTTTATATCCACTGTACACTCCCTGCAGTACTGACATCACTGATCCGATTGGTGTTCTGTTTATCTGTGCTACCCATATATCCGTCCAACTCTTAAATCCGTCCTACCTTGCGGTAATGCGCATGCGCACATCGATGCTTCGTCACATACTGCTTACTCAGCAGATTTCTTATAAATAGGTCCTACCTGTTATGGTAAGTTTTATTTAATTTATTCTATACCTGGCTTTCATTAAGCTGCTCCATTACGTCATGACTGCAGCTTGTAAATATATTTATACATGGCTTTAGTTTGCCGTCTGCAATGTCGTTACTGTAAACAAGTTGGTTAATAAGGACAAAA